AGATAATTAAGGGTAATCTAATATAAGATATGGAAAATGGAGAGGGTACATGAAATACACCTACAATGGGAAACTATTGAGATTTAAAGACAGAATCACTAACTGAGGGCATGTAAGAATGTATAATTATTTAAAGATAATGATGAGAATAGCTGGGAATTGTAACCAGGTCTAAATCTCGGCCAAAACTAGGCTGAAGTGGGTGGGTGGTAGGGTTTTAAAAGTACAATGACATATGAGTATATGTATACATTTTTGTTCTATTTTTTTTAAAGGAGAATACATGTTAAAATTACATATGTATATTGAAAGGAATTATCAATACCATAAACATAAAATGGAGCTTGCTCAGAAGATGAAATACACCAAGTAAATGAGATGAAGAGTGGGAAACAGAGGAGAGAGCGGGAAGAAGAGAGGGATAGGGGAGAGGGCAAGGGGGGGAAGAGGAGGAGAGAAATTAGGGGAGAGAGGAGAAGGATTGAGGAAGGGAAAGTAGAGAAGGGAAGGAGGACAGAGGGAAGAAAGGAGATAGGGTGGGGGAAGGGAGAAGAAAGTGATGGATAAGGTACAAATATGATGTATGGAGAACAGAAGAGCCAATAATTGTTTTTGGTTGATGGTAAGATGAATCAATGTAAACATTTAATAATACAATATGATGTTGGTTATGTAATAGTATACATGTGATTATATGTTATGAAAATTAAAAACATAAAAAAACTTTATAACATAAAAAAAACATCAACGGGGAAAAATACATGCTATCATAAGAACCATATACATCTTGGGCACATAGTGATGGCTAACCATAGTTAGACAGTGATTGCTAAACTTTTTGCCATTGTGTGCCAAAAGGGGAGGGCATGGGTGAGGGTCATGCACACACATGCCTACACCCATAATTCTATGCACCTCCCTCCGCGCATGCACGCACAACCCCAAAGCCTCCTGAAGCCTCCTGAGCGAGAAAAATCGCCAGAAATGAAGGATGAAATCAGCTGGCCAGCACATGCATGCATGCTGGAGCTGACAGGGAAACACTTCACACGCCCTAAGAAATGGCTCCGTGTGCCACAGGTGGCATGCGTGCCATAGGTTCGCCATCACGGACCTATACCTCCAATATTAGGTACAGGCAACTGTAGACTAGCCTTTATTTTGTTCCATTTCCTTGCCCTGTCACTATAGGTTTTCTGCAGTAGACAAAAGAATCAACTCTTCTGAATGGCTCAGGTTTTATAATTTTCTGTAGCTGGAAGGGGGCACCCAGCCCATCTTATTATTATGAAGCAATCATTCCTTTTTAAATTTCAAGGGATTTCTGAAGAGCCTACTCGAAACAGCTAAATTCCCTAATGATTTCACAGTTTCAGTCCTCTTCATTCTGCTCAGCACATTGGTGACTCGGTTTTAATTGGCAACACCTACTGCAGCAGAAAATGATGATCAATTCTATGTACATAGGAGGGCTATTTTAAAAATAGACTGGTTTACTTTTCACGTTCATACTTAATTTTTTTATAATCTGGACACAAATATAAATGTTGAGATTGATCCTTTGAAGATAAAAGCATTACTCTTTACAATTTCTTAACAAATTAGTTACACCCTAACGTTTTCTATTACTTTAAGCTTATCCAAGCAAACTTAGTCATAGGTTTAATTAACCTTTGGTAAGTCCTCAGAAGGTTACTGTTATTAAAAGCTGCTAATTTAACTCAGCACATATGCTAATCTGTTCTGTAATCCACCTCACTTTGTAAGGTGGCACAATGTGTTTAGATGGCACAAAATACACAAGAAAATCCTTTAAGCATTCCCAACTTGTAGGTCAATCATAAACACATCCATTTGAAATTTTCCATTTCATTTGCTGGAACTTGCCTTACTCTAAGCAAATTTTAGACTAAACTTGGGAGAAATCTGTTAAATGAAGCACAATGAGCACTGTAAATAGAGATGCTGCTTGGAGTTGTTTCCAGAAGAAATGGGATTTTGTCACTTCCTAGAGCAAAGCAAAGCAGTGCTGCTTTATCTCCATCTTCTTTATAGCCACTTACAGCCTTCTCTTGTATAATTGTGCACTTGAAAAAAGACTGAACCTTTCCCCACAGCAATGGCTGAAAGCTCTCTAGGGTGACTTTGGCACATACGGCAGGCTGCATAGATACAAAAATTATGTAGCTTGACCCCCTTGTGAGGAACTCAGCAAAATCATGCAACAATTACTGAAGCCACACAGCCTGGATTTCTGTGTTGCATACCAAAAATTATTCAGGTTGGGCAGGCTAATAGGCTGTAGGAATAACTTTGGGAAATAGGAGGAAGAGGCACAACCAGGGCAATGATATGAGAAGAGATATGTTGGTCCAGAGAAGGAACAGAGGTAGAGAAAGCACTCAGAAGAGATGGAAAGTAGAGGCATCAGTGTGTGTGTGTGTGTGTGTGTGTGTGTGTGTGTGTGTGTGCGTGCATGCGCACGCGCACGCATGCATGAACGCACACACATTTAAACTTGTATGATTCTATTACTACACTGCTGTCAAACTCGATTGCATCACATGACATATTGTGACGTATCATGACATAGGTTTTTTTTGCCTTTGCAGAGCTGGGGTGGGCATGGCCTTTGTGTAACGCTTTGGCCCACAGGCTGCCAGTTTGACACCCCTGTATTATTATAATCTTATCAGAAAAACTGTTTGAAGCCAGGCCAGTTATTTCACTGAGGCAAATGAGGTGGCCTCTTCACTTTGCTAAAGCGAATCATAATACTTCCATGATCCCTATTTTCTCTACCTACCAAATATATGTACAAATCTATCATTCTGGGAATTGAATATGCTGGGGCAATCTAGAATACCTATTTCTTCTCTGGACCATGCAATTACATCTCATCCCACTTTGGGATGATCTGACAATTCTCTGGAAGTTGTTTCCCTAAATCAGAAACAGTTGGTAACCTTCCAGATAAGGTGCTCTAAATGAAATGAGACAGTTTCAGGGCAAGGTCATGTTCTCAACACCATGATCTATTTCTAATTCAAAAAAGTAATTTTGTAAAAACTACAGTTTTTACACTCCCAGAATAGATGGATAAGCATGATCCAGAAAAGAAAATTAAAAGTTCCAGAACAAAAAGTATGTTTGTGTATTACGGGAGATACATAATCATAAGGCTGCTATACATGCTTTATTAGAAATGATCTTTTTAAATTGAATAAAAGGGCAAAAAATTGAAGTGAACATCAAACTACTTTTGATCATTCTACAAAATATATGAGCCTGATGTTGAACGCTAATAATACACTGTAAAATTAAAGGAGGCAAATCATTATTGTTCAAGATTGAATAGCATGATTGGATTGTAGCATCTAATGGACATTATTTCAAGACAGTTTCATCTGTCTGTTTAAGTACAGACTCCAGAAACATTCACTGACAGGAAGTGTAGTAGCTATGGGCTTTGATTGGCCTTCCTCAAACTGGTGGCTTCTAGGTGCATTAACCTTGCAATTCACAGAAAGTGAACAGCAGGCTTTGATTTAGTCCAAATTCTACAAATTACAGTCCCAATCTATATGGAGAAAAAGTTAGGGCATCATACAATAGTGCTCAAGTTATGAGAATTTTGCTTAACAACCACTTGAAATTAAGGTAACACTGTAAAAAGTAACTTGTGACTGGTCGTCACACTTATGACAGTCACAGCATCCCCACAGTCATGATTGTGATTCAGGTGCTTGGCAATCAGCCTGCATTTATGATGGTTGAAGCATCCCAGGGTTCACTGTTGAGAGAAAACTAGAAATGCCATTATTTTAATGTCTAGCCTTTAGGCATCTTAAGCGGTACAACAATTTTGCCATTAAAAATGCTAAAAAAATCTATGCATGTAAATATTAGATTGCAAACTCCTATTGTTGCCCTTTGTTGAAAACAGCAGCATTAATGCTTCCACACTGACAGAAAATATTATGTATATCTACAGGAGAAAATTCCCAAGGGAGGATCCAAGGAAAAATCAAAAGAAAAGAAAAAAGAAAATATTTTTGCTGTGTTTAACCAATGGATTTCATAATAGATAATTAGAAACATGGGAAGAAGGAACAAAAGAATAAGAAATCTAGCACAGGTGAATGGAACTTCATTGATTCCACTTGAAATTTCCATGCAGCTGAAATGACTGTAATTTTTTAAGATATTCTCATAGGTATTCCAGATAACTATTTGTATCTGCTAAGCCACACATGACCCTAGATCTAATTTCATGTGAACTTTGGTCTCATTTAAATTCTATCATATCTATTCAGAAACCTGCCAAGAGCTCTCTGTCTCTTTCTGACAAAAAGGAATGAAATGTCAGAGAAAAAAAAACATCCATGGCTTCCTCTATTTTAAAACACCACACAATTCTCACTAAATTACTCCTGTACAAAACCTATCAGATCAGTTTGAAGTTAAGTAAGCAAAAGGTAACACTTTTTAATTAGCAGTTCAAGATGCTGAGCTTGTCAAGTAGAAACCAAAGCACCGCAGAACATGGTGAACACCTATTCCTGCCCCAGCTCCTGCCCACCTAGCAGTTTGAAAGCATGCAAATGAGAGTAGGTAAACAGGTACCACTTCGGTGGGAATGTAACAGTGTTCTATAGACCTTTGGCATATAGACATGTTGACCACATGACTACAGAAAATATCTTTGGCCAATAGTGCCCCCCCCCCGGCCAAGAAACAGATGAGCACTGCACCCTAGAGTCAGAAACGCTTGGCTAGGGAAACCTTTACTTTACCTTTTATTGAAAAGTTTCTGTTTATATAAATGAACAGTGATGTATTTTCATAAACAAATGTCAGTACTTGTCCCTTTTTTTCTGGCTGTAGGCATTGACCTAAAAGGTTTACAAGCAGATGCATTTTATGTAATGAAGATACATCAGCATAAACAGGACAATTTTTAAAAGCTTAAGAGCAAAAGTTGAGCTGCCATCTCGTACCTTAATCTTGGAGGCCAGAAAATTTTGACTTTTGAGTTAAATATTTATTCTTTTCCTCAAATCCAACTGATATAAACATGGATTGAACAGGAAGGCTTTACATCAGCAAGCAATAGTGCATTGCCCTGTTGGGAATAAATGGAAAGAAAAAAGAAGATATAATGTTAAAGGTGCTGCATAGAAACTAGGAGACTGTGAGATCTAGTCCTGTCTTTACAACCTTGAGTTACATATAAAAGTAATAAGCTGGAATTTTTTTAAAAAAATGTCAAAGCACTACCACAAAATTGGGATTTCACTGTTTTAGAACCTTCAATCTCATGGGATATTATATTACAAACTTTCCAAAGCAAATCTTGATATCAATATAAAAACTTAAAGATGTTATCACCACCTTTCTTTTCCAACTTTCTTTTCTCAACAGACCTTTCTGTTTAAAACACATTGATTCAAAAGAAAGTGACAAAAACAAAGAGGGAGGGAGTTGTAACTAAAAATAAATAATTTTTACAAAAGAATTCTTTCTCTAAAGATATCATGGGGAAGCCGAAAGTCAGATTTTCCTATTATGATATTATTTATTTTAAAAATGGAAGACAAACAACAATAAGCTGATTTAATTAACATAGTGAGATATAAACAGCAACCAGAATAAAAATACAGAAGTAATAACAATGACTGTTTGGTTTGGTGGCAGCAGTGCCTCAGATAGAAGATCCATACAGAGAGTGGTAAGGACAGCCGAAAAGATTATAGGAAGCTTACTTCCTGTTATTCATGATACTGTTTACAAGTGCTATGTGCTTAGTGCTCAAAGTATTGTTAGAGACCCAACATACCCACTTTACGATTTGTGTTTGTTGCTCCCCTCTGGGAGGAGGTTTCAAAGTATTTCTAGCAGGACTACCGAATTCTGTAACAGCTTTGTGCCCTAGGCCATCCGTCTGGTAAACTCACAAGATTTGTTTTTCTCATGAAGTACATGTATACATATGAACTAGACTATGTTGTTTCTCTGTGTCATATACTATATGTGGATATGTGGGTATAAGCATAAATTTGTATGTATTTATTTATTTTGTTATGTTTATGTAGTGTATATTGAAGGTGGTGGCTCTTTTTGAGAGCTGTAAGCGGAAAAAATCATTTTAATGCATGCCGATTAGTGTACATTTAAAGTGATAATAAAGTTATTCTATGTCTATGCCTATGTTCTATTCATGACAGCGATTGGAAATAGACAGCAAAAGAATTAATTCAAGAGAGTGTGTTTTTGTAGGTAAGCAATTTGCATGCCCAGCTCTCAAAGACTCTGGGAGACTGACAGCAATCAAATCATGAGAACACAATAAGAAGTATAAAATAATTGAAGTAAAGTAATAAAACAATAAACAATATGAGTGGGAGCTGGTCAGATTTCAGAAGGAGTTCAATCCAGGGGGAAGAACTCTGCTATCAAGAAAATGGTGCTCCTGATAGGAAGCATTGTTTAATCGAAAGAACCTGGAGCATGCCAAGCCTGTAAGTTTCAATCAAACAAATAGGATAACATCCATTTGTTGTTAATAAGGGATTAATTCAATCCTTAACTCTTATCATTAACTCTAGATTCATCCTTTCATTTCTAGAAAAGTTTACCCAGACCGTATTCATTCTTAATACAAATTTCTTTCCATGCACATAATTATTCTCTGAGTCCCAGGTTCAATAGAGATATTTATTTATTTAGCATACAATGTCAGGGAAATCTACACATGATCGATACAACCTTAATTGCTAGTTCATTCTGTTTGGGAGGGTCAATTTCAATTTATTTTCCAAAGTACCAGAGGACAGGACAAGAAACAATGGGTGGAAACTAATCAAGGAGGGAACCAACCTGGAATCAAGGAGAAACGTCCTAACAGTGAGGTCAATTAACCAGTGAAATAGCCTGCCTTCAAAAGTTGCGGGTGCTTCATCCCTGGAGGTTTTTAAGAGATTGGACAGTCACTTGTCTGAAAAGGTATAATCTCCAACTTGAACAGGGAGCAGGACTAGAAGACCTCCAAGCTCTATTCTCTCTTCCAGCTCTATTCTGATCAATTGATTGGCTTAATGACACTGGAACTGCTGGCTAGACTAGACTCCAGAAGTTTGAGCCTGGCTCCTGTCACTTGTTCCCTAGTTCCTGCCCACCTAGCAGTTTCAGCAACCGATACTGCAAGTAGATAAATGGGTACCACTTTGGTGGGAAAAACCTAGTTGCATTTGTGTATGCACAGAGAGCAGAAGCCAGTGCTGGACTCGGCCAGAAGCGAGGCAACACAACATGAGATAATGCAAAATGAGACTGATGAAGGCATTTAGAAGGGCCAGCAACCCAAGCACTGCTAGTCAGCTGGTATAAGGTAGTTTGCCTTTGTCATGTTCCAAGGATAGACACTACACCAAACAGAATTGTACAGTTTTTCTTTCTGCGTGGTTGCAATGGCTGTTTTATTCTCATTAGGGATATTTTAACTTGTATTTGTTTTATGTAAGACAGTTTAATGCTAAGTGTTTTTATTAATTGTGGCAGCATTGAAACATAATTAATAAGTAAATAAAAGCTTTTCATAATGCATTCCATATTTGGGAAATGTAATTTAATATCATACTTCCATACTTTACTATTATATTTATTTCAACTTAGTATTAATGTAGGGTAATGCAATTCATCTGAAACTAAAATGGATTTACAACCGGTCTAGACTAAATCGTATGAGTTAAAGAGTGCGCAAATGTCTTACAATAGCAACACACCAACATGCACACAGACAAAATAGATGTCCAATCAATTTTAAAGACACTTTCAGAGGTCTATTAGATACAAAATATTATTTCTGATGAATTAACTTTATTCTGAAAACCCTGACTCATTTATTTTCCAAAATTACACTGTATTCCTATTCTTTGTTCTATTCAGTTCAGATATGTAACTATAAGAACAAAAGATAAATGGAATATTTTGGCCTTCAAGCACCAAGATCCAGGAACACCATGGCCATTGTCTATGATAGCTAAGGATTACGGGAACTAAAGGACAATATTTGAAGGTACCAGTTTGTGGAAGGCTGCTGTAAATAATTATCAAGTTCGACAGTAACTGATTCCATTGAGTTTTGTTTCATTTTGAACCAGGCAGTATGTGTAATAGGCAGAACAGCTATTCTATAAGAGTGAGATTGAATCCACTTCTTGTAGATGCCTTTCATTTACTAGAAATTGGTAATGTTGCTTTCTGCCCATGATTTCCTGAAGCACAGAAGAGAGGGGAGGAACTACAGAAGATATAGAGATAAAGAGAATGCAGCTGATTCCCACAGGATAGGAGAAGACGCAATTCATACCTCAAATGGTTTTTAGTGTTTTTGCAAACCCTCAGCTTCCCTCAAGTATGTTGATGCCATACTTCTTTAGCAGTTTAACAGAGAATAACAAAACTGGTTGGAGACTATTCTAAACCCCTATTACTCCAATATGACATTTATGCCATTAAGTAACAGAAGGGGGAGGAGGAGCTATGCTGTTACTCAGTGCTGTGCAGCATTGATTACTCTGACCAGCCAAAAGACAATATCCTTGGCACTGGAGAAAGATGGCCAGTGCTTAATGTAATGATGGAGTGTTTGCTTTAGATTCATGTCATAGAAACTGGTTATAATAATTGTTTACCTACATAAACAAAATGAGGCCTCCTCTATTCCCAGTATGTGACACTTCAAAATGTGCAAGCAGTAAAGTACAGAATAAACCTCAAATTACAGCTTGACAAACATACTTGTGACTCCATTAAGATTTATAATAATCCATGTGACAATAAAAAGAAGGGACTTATTACCTAGTAGGCGACATGATTTTATCCATATTCCTGGAACTGATCTTAGGCAAGCCCCCAAAAGTTTTCAGCATTATTTATACTAAGGATGTGCAATTCCTGTGGGACTCAGCTTGGATGCTCCCACATTAGCTGATTGATGGATGCTAAGAGCACTGCTCTGTGTATTTATTGTGCTGTGTTTGCCTGCCTCTTGCCAAAAAGCTATTAGTGAACTACTGAGAAATATTTATCTATTCAATGTCTATGGACTTGCCATATAGGACACAAAAATATAATCTAGACATTTGCAAACTGTGCACAGAATAGTTCTTCTGTAGTAGTTAGGGAGGAAAGCATATTGGGGACATTCCCATCATAACTCAAAGTACAACGGCATACAATCTACTCTATCTATTTGGAAGCATAGAATGGGAAAAATGGAGAAAAATAGATTTAGTTTATGTTTGCACATACGATTATTAACTGTAGAACTTCTTCATGAAAAAGGACAAAGATATTTACATAATACTATCCATACATCTTGGACTTTTAATTCATGCTGCTTTGTAATAAGGGTCACTAATGGAGCTTTCTGAGCAGCAGAATTTGTCCCCATCCCTATGGGGGGGGGGGAAATATGGCATGTACTTTTGATTAATAGCAAGCATACTAGTTGTATTTCAAAAATTAGCTTTTACCATATAAAAGCGGACTAATATTTCTAACATATTTACTTTGTGCTTTTATTTTACATAACAAATTTGAAAAATAATAATAGTAACAGACAGCAAATGCCATCTCCACAAAGAAACTGAAGAAATAAAGGACCATCTAGGTAGAAAATTGCACAGATTGATTACAAACAATGGTAAAGTAATAACAAAGATGCAGTGGAAAAAAATATCACTTGCTTGCAAGCAAGAATGGATGGTACCATAAAATAGACAAAGTCATCAGAAAATGAGGAAGTTAACTTTAGAATTCAAACAGGGAAGCATCTGTCACATAACACCCCAGGCTCAGACTTGTCGATAGTAAAAAAAGACAAAAAGTTTAGATACTGGACATGGTTAAGACCTAGAGACTGCAGAATAGAAGAGGAAGAACTGGAGAAAACCACAAAATGCAGATAGAATGACAAAAGAAATCAAAGATAGTACCAACAGTAACAGGTATCTTGGATGCAATCACAAAACAACACCTCCTTTGGCACTGACCTCCCTGTCACCCTTTGCACTCTGCCCACCTGTTCAATTGTCTCCCCAGCTCTGCCTCCATCCAGTG